GAGCTAGTTTTCCCCATGCTCTCTTTTCCATTCGCTATGGGATTTATGAGAGAATGTAAACTGAACGAAAATACATGCTCTGTAAAATAACGCTAAATAAAAAAAAATATAATTGTATAAAACGTCTTTAAAATCCGGTCTTGTTTAGTTTTCATTTAAATTCTAATGTTGGGTTGTTAGTCTCATAATCACTGTAGCATTCAAAAATTCCAATGTTACAGTCTTAGTTGGATAAAATCCTATGTAGAGAGAATTTGGCCTATTCATTCTAATGCTCATTTTCCAGCTTCTCAGTTTTTTTTTAATGAAATAAGAAGCTTGTGACAGGCACTTTCTTTGTCCTTGCAAAAAGGTAGGTAGAAAAAAGAAAGCAATTCCAGCTACTTTGCTCGACTAAAACAAACTTCACAGAATTTGATGTTAAATAAGAAGATTTCAGTTATTTTAAGTTTTGGCACTTTTTTAAAGAAATTTTGCATCTCATTGCCGTTTATAATTAGTATAAAAGACGTTCCTGATCTTTGCAAAATCTTTTGACCTTGAGAAAAACCAGATTAGTGAATTAAGAAGTCGAAAGAATCACTTTTTGCGAAGCGTTATGAAACATTCACCAAAACCAACTTTTTTCTCACAGCTGTTCGGAAATATCCGATGTCATGACAATGCATGATGAACTTTTGTTCGTTCTAAACTCTTTTTGAACTTCTCATCATAACATGAGTTTCTTTCGTCTTTACGACATACAAAAGATTGACTCTTTTATATCTAAAAGGCTTCAATCACTACGTGTCTGCATTACTGATTTCGTGCTCATCTCTGGAAAATTGGTGTGGTTTTATTGGGATGAAAAATTATAATTCCCTTAAAATATCTGCCTCGTGCCAATAGGTCAAATTTCAATTTTTTCGATTTTGCTGTTCTCAGATCGCATTTCTTTCTAAATTCTGTCACTGTCTGGCTCTGTATCGAATGTACACATAGCGCGTTGATTATAACAAAGTGTGATAATCTTAACGATTGACGTCAAGTCGCCGTTAAAACCAGTTATGTGCACAGAGGAGGACAAGTAGCAACTGCTCTTGAGCCCCCTGTTCACCTTGTGTCTCGTCTCATCCTGACGGCACGTAGGCGGTCGTTGCCGTTCGTGCGCTCTTCCTATCGCGCTCTCCCTTATCGTTCTTAAATCAAATTAGCCTAAAAGAATTAGTGAAGAACATGCTAAACTATTTATTTACCATCGAGATGTCGTGATAAACTAATGCTGAACGTTTGAAGTATAAGAGCGCCTACTTCCAGTTGTGAATTTATCCACGATGTCGGGCTCGACATCACCGGCGCGACTTACGCGAAGGCTTTCCAGCACGAAAATAGCCAAGCAATTAGCTGTAAGCTCTCCACACTTTAGCATATCCATTTCGACGCCCTCTATCCTCAATTTTTAGGGACTCAGCCTGCGATCCGATGATATCATGGATCAGGGAGAGACAGCCCGACACGAAGGTCGTTTCGTATTTGAATGTAGTTGGGAAGTCGCCAACAAAGGTATCAAATTCTTGATAGCTTTGTAGATTAGTGCTGTTGTGCACTATTGTCTTTGAAAAAAAAAAGAAGGGCGAAAAATCAGGAGAAATGCCGTCAAGAAAAAGTTAGCATTGCGTGCTATGTGTATAGGGTGACAGACACATTGAAAAGAACTCACTAAAGTTCGGCGACGCTTTCATCAAGTTGAGTT